GAACCCACGATCCCGAGGTTGCGAGGCAAAATATACTACACACTATTTTGTGACCATTTCATTAACAACGTAAATTTCCGGAGTTTTCCGGCGACAAATTGACAGGACCACCAAAGTCTCATTTTGTTTTAATTGTCCGTTTATATGAAGCATTTTTTTACTTGTTTTTTTTTTTTCTTTTTTTTTCAAACATATCTATTTGGTACGGGTATTTTAGAAGTATTCTTTTTCAAATGATAAGCAATGGAGTTGCTAACATATCATCTCATCTCTGGAGGATGGATATAAAGTAAACTATGAAAAGCAAACTGAAAATGAAAGTTATGTATAACTTCGACGCATTGCAATATGTCACGTATAAAATACAATGAGTAGGTTTTTTTAAATGATTTGTAACTTGTATTAAATGGTTGAACATTTGAAATATTACATGATTACTTATCAGCTGAATAGCATATTTGTAGAAGAATATACCGATACCTTAACGACGAGAATTGTTTATCGAAGTTGACAGAGTAAACGTTTTGAAGTTATTTCAATAATTAGTGTGTTGTCCGTCATATCTAACATTATACATGTATATCTAATATTGTACACGTCTATCTAACATTCTACATGTATATCTAACATTAAACATGCATATCTAACATTAAACATGTTTATCGAACACCATATCTAAATTATTCATGCATAACATTATACATGTATATCTATCATTATACACGTATATCAAACATTATACATGTATATCTAACATTATTCGTGAATATCTAACATTAAAGATGAATTTCTTTTTTATATAATTATGTATATCTATATGTATATCGATATTGCTAACTGACCCTCATATAAATAGACTTTTGCTTCTCAACACAAACATTTGCACCACAGTACTTCTCATATTTCTCTTACAAGTAATTATGTATATCACATATATCTAGACGTTTGACGCTTTGCAAACTGCAGTAAGACAGCTATTTACAAATCTATCAAATGTAGAATTAGATATAAGACTACAGTCAAGTAAAATATATCTTATAATAATGTTAAAATATATCATTCCGACGGAATATAATTAAAGGTTAAAGTTTAAGTCAAATCATACTTAGTGAGATATTACATGAATTATGATTATTAATAATAGAGAATAGTGTATTGTTCATAATACATTTTTGTAAGTGGGCTTATCTCTGGAAGTACCATAATACTTATTAGTAATACTAATATGTTGCAAATAAATAATAAAGTCATTGAAAATGTGTTCATGTAAGAGCAAACATACCGTTTAATTGTAGAAATAGATCACATATTTTTCTGGTGAAATTTAGCATTTTATGCTGTATATAAATACCCTAATTATCAGGCTATTAATTTCAAGGTTGTTCCGAAAAGATATTTTCGCCTGGTGTAAGGCGTTTTATCTACTCTGTCTAATATTTAGCCATTTTGACATTATTAAATATGTTTGAAACATATCAAATTTATCCTAAGCTCGATTGAGAAGCATACTTGTAGTCACTGACAACAAATACTGAAGTCAGTCATTTGTAAGCTATAAAAATGTATTTCTAATTTTAAGATAATTATAGTAATGGAAATAATTATCATAAAATGTATCAAATCATTTCTGTCCTTAAAATTTTTACATACCTTCATAAAAACCATAAATGGGTCATTTGTTTGACGTACAAGCTGTTTAGGCAGCACGATTTCTTAAATGGTATACTTTTGCATATGCATTTCATTTGAATAGAGCATTCGACAATTTAAAAGAAAACACTTTGTTTTCTTACGTGAGAAGCGTTTTATAACGTTAATGTACCAGAACAGAAATGTTTATTTTCTCTTTTAATATCAATAGTATCAGAAAAAGTTGTCCTACGCAGGCAATGACTTATATTTTGTTTTTGCCACAAATATGTCGAATAATTTGTTTTTGATGACAGTGTGTCACCAGGCAAATTACATTAACGGTCAGGTAAGATACGATTAAGTACACTTTTCATGTGACAAATGGCATTTTGTTATTACTAAGAAAGTCAACATTGGCGAAAAATATATGTATAATTGTTCTTCAGATGATGAAATGTCCTTTTCAAATGTAGCTGGGTGTACATGCGTTTTACGTACTGTAATAGGTAATACACCTAACATGTTTATAAGATTTAACAAATAAAAATGTTAACATTCATAACTGACAAAACAACTCATTAGTTCACACTGAAAATTACATTTCAAAATTATAAATATTGTACATATATCTTTATCCAAATATTTATTATATCTTTGAGTAGAAGGTGAAACTTGTTGACGTAGTTCTTGACGAAAATATAAGTGGTTTAACTTCAATAAATCGTGTTTTTTATTTGATGGAGTCTACATATTGTAAAATTAAAGATGAAAATGTAAAATAATATTCGTTTATGAACTGATTTGAAATATTTATAATTCCTTTTAGCTAACATGCTTAATATTCATTTTCATTAATCATTCAGTATATCTTTCTGGGATTATTCTATACTGTCATACAAATAAGATAAAATTACTATAATAAAGTAACATAATGGCGGAATGATAATTTCGTTTTTAAACACAATTCAAAAGATTTTTTTTCAATGTTGTTAAATCAAAATGCTTAATAACAAAAATGCATGCATGTAATACACATTCTTGTCTATTTATAAATTTTAATCGGAGGGAATTTTCAGGTTACATATTTTAGTATAAATGTAATAGAAAGAGCATCGAAACACGAGGCTATCTGATTTGTACGAGGGGGCGTAGCCCCCGAGTATAAATCAGATTGCCGAGTGTTTTGATGTTCTTTCTCTTTTGTATCATAGTCAAACATAAAAACACGTTCCCTGTTGTCACAGTATGAAACCCCAGAAAAAAGTAACCAATGAACGAGCATCTGAATATGATATTTCTGTCGCATTCCCTTTCTCTGCCGTCACAATAAGTAAACCCCAGCAAAAATGAACCAATCAATGGGCATGCTCTGGAGTGCGGGTAACTGATACCTGCACTCCAGTTACCGCACTGTGCATGTATATGTATACGATTTAACTCTGACACATTTTCAACAGAAAGGTCGCCAAACTATGATACAACTTTCGTATATACCTGTATGGCATCAATAATATCTTTTACATAAACATTTCCATTCATGTTATTTAACACTAATAAGCTTGGCAGAATTAACTTATTTAACAGAATAAAATGCCAGCTATTTCATATTACTTATACATTTTCAATCCAAGGGGAATGAATCATTGGTCTGGTTCAACAGCTTAAACCAGAGTATCTTCCCTTTGTAATGTTGATATAATTTAGTAATATGTGTAACAATAAGCAATATTATAATCATTTATTTACAAATAAAACAAGCAATTATCAAAGCTTACAAGCAAAACAAAAGTCCCATACCGGTTCGAACCCTACAAGAAATATGTCAGCAACATTCAGAAAGGTCATGACCATTCAAAAATGCCATTGTGGAAGACATGGATGACTTTTTGAGTTCATAGTTTATCTGTGTCATATAAAGGTGTTAAAATGTCCCTGCCTAAAAAGGAAGTAATGTTTATACAACAGATCATCAAAAGTTCCAATTTACATTTTCTTAAAGACGAATATGTATTATTTCAATTGTCCTCTATTTTATAACATTTTGTTGAAACATTTCCAAGATTTTTAAAAGACAATAAGAATTTTAGGGACGGACAGAGAGAAAGACTGACAGACCAATAGCCAATCTTTAAACCTCATTGGTTGTAACCAAAATATAACATATATAATATATATAATATATTATATATTATAATATAATTTCATTTCAAAATATAACATATATAATATATATAATATATTATATATTATAATATAATTTCATAAACATTCTTAAAATATAGAGGAATTAACTCTTGAATAAAGATTCTACACTAATGAACCTTTTCATACATGATACGAGCAATGACAAAGAACAATTGTCTTTAGTGTAAAGTAAGTACCATTTATAGTGACAGAGAAGGAGAGTGGAAAAATGTAAGAAATTTCAAACTAATTCCAAGTTCAAAATTAAAATAATCATAGAATTCCAGATGCTAGACTAATAAATCTAATTACAGATGATGTAGGTGTTGATAATGAACATATATTTAGAATTTAATGTATAACCATGAAGAATAAAGAGAGTTATAGAATAAAATAGGAAACATCAAAGTTTAAGGGGGGATCATTCTGGAAATATGGATTTATTAACCTTGTCATATAATTATGATGTGGGCTTTCAAATATTAAAGTTAACCCTTTAAGATATGAAGTTACAGTAAAACATAATAATTTCAAGTTCAAGAGCGCCATAATTCTGGAAATAGTCAAGCAAGATTATTGAATCTCCTAACACCTGACTTGGGTGAAATTAAGAAACATATAATTGAAATCTGAAGTAGAAAAATCATGAAAGTTAAGAACAGAGTTATAGAAAATAATCATTCTTGTTTTGTTTAATGTAGTGCCATTGTACCCAATTATTTTGTAACGGAATGAATTATAGTGTTCTTTTTGGTTTTGTTTACAGTTTAATGGCCCACTTTCCCTATTATGCAATGCAGACAGATGATCAGACAGACGAACAGAGGGCAAACGTAAAGTCCCCTCCGATTAAACCGGTAGGGGACTACAAAACATTTTTCTTATAATGCTATTATGAAAATATTCCACCAAATTGTCAACAATGAATAAATGTGTCATTCATAAATGATCTTTTAAAACACACACAAGAATAGAATATTGAATTTCAAATCAAACATGAATCATATAAAACATTAAAATATGTGTGCAAGATATGTAAATATACTGAATAAACAAATTACCTGTCAAACTGTTTTAAAGGAAATATTTTATTTAATGATAAAGTTGTAAATATTTTTATATTTTCAAATTATGAATAGCCTAATAACCACACAAAATCATACATGTATTTTTTGCCAAACAAAATCATGAGTATAATCGCTTAAATATGAGATATTATAATATTTATGACACAAAATGTTTAAACAAACATGAATACTAAACAGAAATTATTTGTCATCTCAAACAAATGTGAGTGACAGCCAGAAAATGATTATGTACACATAAACTAAGTTCTACAGTCTCAAATGTTCAAATGATTACAATAGAAATACTTTGTATGTACTATATATCACAGCAAATCAGTTGAAGTAAATACTTGACATAATGGACTAAATTAAACATAAGATGACACACGTTTATTTCAGTTCATCGACAGGCGCTTAATTGCACCCTGAAAACCCATTACGTCTTATGTAGAATCATACTCAATATTTACATTAAATACTGAAATGAAATCATTTCCTAGATTGCCACCGATCACCGAATTGTCTATAACGTCAAAGGCAAACGACCTAGGGCAGCGCAACCCAATTGCAGCTTGTTTCAATACCTTTCCAAGTTTGATATTTACTAGAAATAACGTGTTAGACGCACACACGAGAAGCATATCATTTTTTACAATGCATAGATCAGTACAACCCTGTAATTCTTTTAGTGCTACTGTCGAGGGATTTTGGCTGTTTGCATCAATTATAATAAGGCCATCTCCTCCAGCAGCCACAACAATCTTACTTCTGTCATCACTAACAACTAAGCTATGACAAAAAGTTTCCTTCCCAAATTGATGTAACTTTTTATGATTTTCTCCGTTTTCATCACACGTATAGATGGAAAGGTTGTCGGTATAGTATATGGCACTGTCTTTACTGTATAAGCGCAAACAAGGGGCCTTTGTTTTGAACACCTTGTCTACCTGAATATGAATATCCCCAACATTAACAACACAAACATGGTGGCCAAATGTAACAAAGGCTTTTGAGGCATGAATTGCACAAATATCAAAGGGTGTTTCCGACTCATTAAACGTATATTGGCCTACAACCCTATAGGTCAAATCAAGTTTTTTCAACTTTTTGTTTACATTGTCGATGAGCAGAATTTCACCTGAAGGTAGGGTACAAAGTTTTATTGTACTACACACTTTACGTGCCGGTTCATCACTTCTGATCCTGTATAGTTTTGTGCTTACATCTTCTGTTATTTGTCTTACACCCTGGCACTTTCTAAAGAAGATAAATAACTACTATTATTCACAATGTGAACATTTTTGTTTGTGGTTAAGCTTTGACTATTTTAATGCAAAATGATCTACAGTTTCTTATGGTTTAAATAGAAAACAATTCTAAAATTTAGACAAGAATTCAGACCGAGCCTCCAGAATGATGCCGCATGCCTTTGCAGTGATACAAAAACAGAACATTTAAATGCATGTTGCATTCTCTAAAGGGATCCGTCCGTCACTGACTACAAAGCATGTCCAATACATACTTCCTGTAGACAAATGCAGCTGTCAATGAATGCGATTAAAACCTTCATGTGCTTTATATTTATAGATTGAAGTCGAAATTGAATCGATGAAAAACTGTACGAAGAAATTTTGCCAAACCAAGAAAAAAACACAGCTTAATAGTGGTAGATGATTTTGATGACTAAAAAGACAAAACACTTTAATGCCCATTAACAAACAATTTGCGATAAATACAACTATATTCACAGAGATAATACAATAAAATAATGATAGCCTACTGTAAATTTGTTGGAAATAAAGATTTACACAGCATCTTAAACAAAAGTCATTTATTATAGTTAAATTGTGTTAACTGACGAAATCTTATGAACTCGCTTAAGTTTCAAATTAATATCTGCAATGGTTAAATTATGTTCAAAAACGTATACATTTCATGATATTAACTCGAGTAATTTAAAGGGACAAAAGTAGTTCGAAATTTGTTATTTAGCCATCTTTCAAGGATACTGACGAACACGATTAATATTGTATTATGAAAACAGGAACAAGTTACATGAGTGCTTCGCCGTGCAGAACGAAAATAAGTCTTCCAATGTTAGTGCATAAGTGCATTGTGTTTAATAAAGCCTTACCTATGCTTTCCTTCGCATTTATGGCAAAAGAAATTATCATGTGCGGGACAAAACAGCTCAACCTGTTGCTTGTGATGAGTATCGCAGAATAAATCGTCAGCGTGTCCTTCATTTATGACACCCTGGTCCACTGAAATCAAGAAATGTCAGGCATAGTAAACTGTTGCATACCTGACGTTACATGTAAAGAAATGTAAACTTTAGTTAAACTTAACCCTTAAACTTATTTGTATAAATCATTAATACATTAATTTGATGTTTATATAATTTTTACATAGAAGAATGATTTAAAACGTTATACATACGAGAGGACTTGCAGGAAACATTGTTAAAATACATTAAAGATCTTCACAAGTCTGTGTAAGTGATTACAATCGGATGTAATGCAAATGAAAAACTGTTAAAATAAAAGAACTATGCATGATAACATTAAAAAGGAAAAAAATGTAGTAGATATCAAATTTAAGGCGTTTCGCTATGAAATAGTACAATGCATTCAGCAAGAATAAATACGTAAATAGGCATTTGCAAAAAACACACTTAATAATACACGTTAACTATTTAGCAATGCATACTCAAATGCTTTTGCACTTCCTGTATCTTCTCATGTGATACTTTGGCATAAATGACGCAGACAGCTTCGTACACGTTAGAGAGAACAGTTTGAAGGTTTTCTATTTTTGATTTAAATTCATTCCCTTTCAGTATCTTTAACAGCATTCTTATTTCTTCACAAGACGCACATGCCATAGTCATCACAACAGTATTATCTTTATCCACAGATGCTGATTTGATCTCAACGTTCATAATAGAGGCTACATCTTTTACTGCCTTGATTAGTTGATCTGGGTATTTTTCCAGTGTCCCTTCAAATATGCCTTTAACTACATTGCAGCATTTCCTTGAAATGGGATTAGATGAAGTGAATATATCCAATTTCTCCTCTATATCTGAATTGAAATATTTTTAAAGTTCAAATATTAAGTGAAATATAAACATAGTCTATATAAGTTTATGCACGCAATTATAAAAACGTATCATTTAGCGAAGTGTCTCTCTAATGGAAAGTTAATAGAAATATAGGAACCCTGCTAATAGTTCAGCTATTAAAACAGACTTTAGAGTAACAAATTGCAAATGCAAATCATTACATACACCACTGTTTATGTAATTTCCATGGTTTAGATATAAAGCATTACTTATTATTACTTATTTGTCAAGTTTTATGAATATTGACTATTGGGATATACTGGGAAACACCAGATGTTACAGGGTAATACTGGGTAATACTGGGTTTTAAACATGATATAGATACTACTGTTAAAAATATATCGATGTTTGTTCTGAATATATCTTCCTGTACAGGAACGTTGTCCTTTACCTTACAAAGAAAAGTTTGTAATTTGTTTCTTTATACATGAACTGTAGATTGTTCATACAATTTGGCTGTAAATATCATTTATGTCTATAACAGTTTATAGCGTATCTCAGTAAACCAAGTCCAAGTAGGAAAGAGAGAAATGAGTACCTTCTGTTCCTTCGAATTCCTTTCCCTTTTGAATGGAAATGACCAATTGTTCTTCCAATAAATTGACAGAAGTTTCTTCAATTGAATTTTTATTTCGCAAATCTAGAACAAAAAAATATGTCTGTAGCTTAAACATTACACATCTTCACTTTTTTCTAATATCACTAAATATGCGGATAAAGAGATGAAAATAATAATATTGTTTCAGTATTTCATCTTGACTTAGTTCCCTATTAAATAATGATATATTTTATTTAAAATTGAAGGCTTATGTAAGATGATGCAATATGTACATCATAACAACTTCTTTTATTTTTGTACTCTACAGAATTCACACGTAAAACGGACACTCTGCTATGAGTAGTTATACAATTTACACTCCTGATGATTGAAATACGCCAAAATTATTATTATTATTATTATTATTATTATTATTAATATGATTATTATTATTAATATTATTATTAATTTATTCTTATGATTATTATTAGAAGAAGTGGTGGTAGAAGAAGTGGTGGTAGAAGAAGTGGTGGTTGTGGTACATGTAGTAGTGGTGGTGGTGATGGTAGTGGTGGTGGTGGTGGTAGTGGTGGTGGAAGTGGTAGTGGTAGTGGCAGTGGTTTGTTTGTTTGTTTTGTGTTTTACGTCACATCGACACAGTGTATGTCATATCGCGATGTTCCAGCTTAACTGGTGGAGGAAGACCTCAGGTGGCCTTCCGTGCATTATTTTAGGCACGAACGGGCACCTGAGTAGAACCACTAACGTTCCGTAAGCTAGCTGGATAGGTTCCTCACATGAAAGAATCCAAAGTCCCTGTAGGGATTCGAACCCACAGCGGTAGTGGTAGTGGTAGTGGTAGTAGTAGTAGTAGTAGTAGCAGTAGTAGTAGCAGTAGTAGTAGCAAAAGTAGTAGCAGTAGTAGTAGCAGTAGTAGTAGCAGTAGAAGTAGCAGTAGTAGTCGCAGTAGTAGTAGTAGTTAACATTTTAATCAAAATAGCATTTAGACACCAAATATGCTACCTTTCAATCTTTGTCTTGTCTGTTCCTTCAATTCGTTTTGTATGTCCGTTGTTTCTTCCCCTTTTTCTGTCTTTTCAATAAACTTAAGTAAAAGATACTGATGGCTTTTTTCAAGGTATTTTTTAAAAAGTTTATATACATCGGTGCCGCTTTGTCTGACCTTTTCTATAATAGTTTCGTTCTTCTTCGTTGTATTTGCTAGTTCCTAAACAATAAGAGTTCAAACTTAGAATATAATTTTATTTTTACATGTAATATTATCTATTTACAGTTGAAGATGCACCCATCCTTGTTGGCCAAGTGGCAATAAAAAGAGTTACCGCTACTTAAAAATACAAGGGAGGGTGACGGAGCACCAGCGTCCGGATTGTTTCGTGAGCAATTACTACATAGTCGTGTAGTTTTTTGCTTTGCTTTTGTTTTTTTAATCTCTAATATGACGTTTGTTTTACCATATGGTTAAGATGTATATGTTATCATTCTGTAGTTGAACTTTCTATTTTACTATAAGCTTTTATCACTTAATTGCACAATAAAGCACTTATACAAATAAAAATATTTCATTTCTTCCATTTAACAGTGAAATATTGCTTGACACTTTTGTTTGGCTGGTCAAGCGATATTATGAACATCCATCTAAATTAGTGTCTTTTTTTCTCCACTCCACTCATGTTAAGAAGTCAATATTTTACTTAATGATCTACAAAGTAAATTGATGACATACCATGATATCACGAATATCAATATACTGGAAAACATTGTCCTCAAGTAAACTATCAAGAATTGGTTCAGGATTCATACATTCTTTAATTGTCGATATTGATCTATCTAGCACGTGCTTATATGTCTCCTCAGCGTCGTTTACTGTCTCCTCTTTATCATCTTCTGATAAATAATGATTTATTATCCATATTCATTTTATTTATTATTCGAAAGAAAGTTTTACATTATTTAATTTATTATTGTTTAAGTTGTAGAAAAAGGTTATTGGTTAAGATTTTTAGATGAAAAAAGCACATTGAAATAAGTGTATCGATATTTGTTGCATTGATTTTTTCCAAATAGATTGAAGTAAATATCATTTAATTGCTCAATATTGAATAAAATGTTATCTTTGGTGAATGCTATAAATACAACTTTCGACAGTCTTCATACAGAATTATAATCTAAGCACATATTAAACCGAAACAGTTTGATTACGAATTTGGTTTGCAAAGCTGAAAAAATAAGAACGCAATTGAGAAAACATAAAGTATACATTTAAATTGTCATACACTCATATACTAGACCTTAATACCTTTTTCATTCAAACTGTCTGATTTTTCTTCTTTGACTTCAGTTGTTTCTTCGTCACTTACGTTTTGAAACAAGTATTTTGGACTTGTTTCAGGACCTTCTTCGTCCTATAAGACATTATAAATATTGAGTAAAATGAGTCATTTAGATAATTTTGTTTTTTGTTTACATTAAACAATATTAAAAACATAAATAAATTAACAAGCATATTTATACTAATATAACTTGCTCTAAATATATATTCATTTATTTTGCCTGAAAATATATCATGTTTACAGCATACTTAATTGGTCGAATAAAATGGGTTTTGTTTTTTTTACACATTCAACATTACCTTTGATACGGACTTTTCAAGATTGGAGTGTTCATTTATCTCACCACCTGTTTTATATAAGATCATAATTGTGAACATTATCATTTTAATAATAAATATTTTAGGTTGGAACACGAATAAATGTTTCATTTTTTTTATTTTTCGAAAGAGAATTTTAAACTATTTAACTGACTATCGTATAATTTGTTAAACACAGATATTAGCTACCCTTTTTAGATAAAAAAGTCACAATGAAATAGAATAACTGTTTCGATATATGTTGCATTTAATTTTTCCAAGTAGATTGAAGCAACCATCAAACAAAAGCTACGAAGTATTACGTAACTTTCGTAATATGAATTCCATGCCTTATTGCTCAATATTGAATAAACTGTTATCTTTGGTGAAGGCTATAAATATAAATTTCGACAAAATCTTCATAAAGTACAATAATCTAACCCAAACTGTTTGATTAGGAATGTGGTTTGCAAAGCTGAAAAAATAAGAACGTAATTGAGTAAAAATAGAGTATATATTTAGATTGTCACACGCTTCTATACTAGACGTTAATACCTTTTTCATTCAAACTGACTGATATTTCTTCTTTGTCTGCAGTTGTTTCTTCGTCACATACGTTTTGAAACAAGTTTTTTTGCCTTGTTTCAGCACCTTCCTCGTCCTATAAGACATTATACACATTGAACAAAATGAGTCAATTAGCAAAATCAACTAATTAAATTGTTGATGATAAGAGCGTCTTTTGAACTTTGATATCAGCTGACCTAGAGCATTTTATTTCTTCTCCTTTCGCGAACAGCTATGAAATTTGGACCATGTGCACAGGTTTAGATGTATAATTAAACTTTGATAAAAGTACAATAGTGTGAAAATATGACATAGTTTCTTGTCCGTCGATGTACAGCGATATAATTTGAACCATGTGCATAGTTAATCTTTGAAGATTATGATCATAATGATTTATACTTGAACAAAACAACAAGGAAGTCAAACTGATTTTAGACGATCTTCTGCAAGAAAATAGATCTACCAAACATCATTGGTTTCCGTAATTTTGATATAAAGTACTTATATTTCTTTTTCTATGAACTCTGAAGAGCATGCAGGTTGTTATCAGCTTAGTTTAAAGAACAAGGAACACTTAGTTAATGACGTTACGACATATCCTTATTCAAATGTCACATGTAATGAAAATGATTTTGATATTTGCTTTTCGCTTTAAATTATTTCTTGAAATATCTTACTGACCCTCTTAAGTACAAATTTTATATAGGGGTCGGAATCTCCTACCCATTGGGTAGTCATGTAAAATGAGGTCTTAGAGTCAATGGGTCTAGAACTCATCTTAATATCATAAGGGGGTCTAAGTGTCTTACTTGCCTCTAGGTCGGGATATTATAACGGTAATGACAAGATACATTCTGTCGGCTGCTTGCTTTGACATTCCACATAAAATATGTACGTAGGTCCAACCGGGGATTGCAGTTTAAATTAGATTGCTTTAATGTTTATTACTGAAGAATATCGGATTATTGGTAACAAGGCCGAACGGCCTTAACGTATTAAAGAATAAACATTTTAAGGTTATTCCATTTTGATGTTTAAAATATTTTGTTGTTTGTGTATGAATGTTTCAATAACGTAGTTATATAAAGGTACACTATGAAATGGACGATGTAAAAGTAAAGGTAGGAGAGCTTAAGAGTGGATTGAAGTTGAGTATAAGAAATAACATCTCCGATATAAGTTGATTTTACTTCTTACCGTTCCCATTGTCATCATGTCCAGACTCTTCGGCGCATGATTACCTAGGTGAGATAATATAATGATAACATACATTAACATTTCTATGAGTAACATATTTGTTTCAGGAAGAATCTTACGTTTTACTCTTTAACATTCTCTATATGAACCTTTAAGGTTCATGTCATCACTATCATTATTTTTCAATGCGTTCCATTTACCCAGACAATTAATCATCGAACATTTTCAGATAAATAGCTCTTTCCAACGGATATGTTAATATGTGTTTTCCTCAAAAGTCCAAATATCACTGGCATTTTTATTGCTTACTTTAATTTTATTTCAGGATATTCGACTTAAGTTATTCTTCATATAGATCAAGGTTAAAATATTGCACAAACGTATTTTTAATTAAAGTTCCAATCAAATGAATCATTTCTAAATGTCATCGACGAACGTTATATTTTTGTTTAATTATCGTTCGTTATTTATTGATTTTCACCAATCAATATTGCGATAAAACAAATCTTGTATCTGCCTGAACTGATGTAAACTTTTTGAAAGGACACTCTAGAAATTTTTTATTATATAACTTGACATATCTGAAAATATTTGATATAATGTTTTTATTGTATTTATCATATTTACAGAAATCTATATTCCTTTATTTCATACTTACAGTCCAGCTCATTTATGAGATTATTTAATTTCCCATCAAACCTTCTTTGCAAACCGATTGGACTTTTTATGCTATTGTCAATCTCCTTAACAAGATCCATGTTGATACAACTTTTTACATTTCTTCCGAAAATCCCTGCCATCACGAAGCAAAGAAGAGGAACAGTCCAAGTATCCATGTCTGTATTAACTGATCTACCTTCTGGATATAATATTTGCTTATCTTCTCCCAACAATAGCATGTCTATTTTTTGTTTGATATAACTTATGTCTTGAACGAGGCGTTCTGCCAACTCTCCTTCTGACAGACGCATTCCAATGCCCTCTTTTAGTTTACTTTTCAACTCATCTTCATTTTCTTTTATAACGTCACTCTTAAAATTGTTTATAATTTTGTAATTATAACATTTATACACAATGCAAACGAAAGATGTTTTTGAAAAGAATATAATAAGCAGTTTTAAACAGTTCAACGATATATCAAACTTATTTAATCAGATAAATACTAATTATCCGTCTTTGACTATAGCTAAAACATTTCATTAGTAAGTTAAATTTTCATTATAAATGATTTTCATCATCTTATCCCAATACAGAAGTGTAAAATTTAATCCTTACCTTTTCTTTTAAGAACTCCTCCATACTGGAGTATGCATATTCACCTGTGTAAGATAGCATTATGTTTATATGTATATTCCTATATTTTTCTAAAATATTATTTTTTATTTGTTAAAATAATACAAATAGCAAATCGACTTGACTTAACAAATCTATCAACTTTCAACACTATCAACATAAATATTCACTGTATTGCATACTTTCCATTATGTAATTGACCAATGCAAACTGCTTTGTGTGCGTGTGTGTGCGTGTGTGTTGGTGTGTGTGTGTGTGTGTGCGTGTGCGTGTGTGTGTGTGTGTGTGTGTGTGCGCACGCGCGTGTGCGTGTGCGTGTGTGTGTGTGTGTGCGTGTGCGTGTGCGTGTGTGTGTGTTGCACGATAGTTTTGTAATTTTGAGACGGCGGAGGGCTACAACAGACAAAACTTTGAAAAATGTTTGCCATAACGAGAGATTTAGAAGAACCTGTAAATTTTATGTTGAATATTTTTTTATTTTTATGTAGTATCTATACTGAATTATTTGTTATTAAAGCAGAAAGTATTGAGAGTACATATAAAATTCATGAAATGGTTATTAAATATTAAAATGTCTACAACAAGTTCTGCTGTTTATGGAGAATTGAGTGCATTCCCTTTATATATAGATAGAGAAATCAGGAATGTTAAGTATTCCTAAAGTTGCATGATGAAGAAAAAAAACAATAATTTATTTTATCAAGTACCATAATAAATTAAGATATGATGCTCAAAAAAAAATATTGTCAATTGGGCTTCAAAAGTAAGACTTATCACAAATGCCGGTTTTAAATCACTTTACAGTTGTTTTTCGTATAAGACTTCAGCATATATATTCAAATAACTGGTAACCTCTACCAGATCTTTACTTTTATCATTCAAAAATATAAAACCTTTTTTTGAAATATAAAAATATCTATCCAAGATAAAATGTTCTATAATTATTTCAAGTTTAGGTATCCCATTGGAGGTCCATTGTGGTTTGATCCCCATTTCATATGTATTCTATATTATAATATCAAGGAACAAAGTTGATAGGTTGAATGATATATTGCATTGTGAAAGTATGTAATCGATGTAATCATATAATCATGATAACTTTGCCAAAGTAATCAAAAGAATTCCATTACAAAGCTGATCTCCGGTTCCGGTGATGGAGAGGTGGAAACATTTCTCTCGCATTAAAACGTATATCATGTATGGAATTGTATGTGATTGGATTTTATATTCAGTATTGTTTCTTTACAAATTAAATTAACTTCATAATTCGTGTACAAAATCATAAAATATAATTTGGGAATTTTAGTTAAATTTGGGAAAAAAATTTTTTTTTCTTTCTTTTTTTTTAAAAACTGTGTGCATTGGGAAAAATAAGCAAACGTTTGGAAATTGGTTTAACTGTAGATGATTAAATTGTGATCATTTTATCATTGGTCGCTGTGTATATTAAACTAGGGGCACTGGCCGAAAAAATTAAGGGAATTTTAAACCCATTTTTATTTTAACCCGATCAAAAACGGAAAAAAATCCCCTTTTAATACGGCGTTGAAATATGAAAAACTTCGGGCAATATGATATAAAAGTCATGTGGGGAATGTCACCAAATTAAATTTTCCCAAACCCTAATGTATTTTCCCAAACATTGACTGAAACACCAAAAGGGGTTCCTTATCTTTTTAAAGGGCCTTTCCCTCGGGTGGAAAAAAAGACAAACAGATAAAAACGAGCTATATCATTTTTGAGTCGTGGGGAAAGAGCCCTCCCAGAAAGACATGTTTGTCGACAGGTTTTGGTTTTGGGAATAAAAAACAAGCCCTGCCCCAAAAACTGGAAAAAAAGTGTCAATCCCTTTTTTAAATTAAAAGGGAATCAAAAAGGGTTCTTTGGGTTTTTAAAATACTGGCGCTTAAACGTCGGTAATTTCCAAAAGACGGGGGGCTCTGCTAAATTTTAAAGCTTCCCTACGACTTTTCTTTGCTAAAACTCTGGTAATCGAGGGAGAAGACTACTTTTAAATTGAAAATTTTTAAAACAACATAAAATAATGCCTAATCAAACGAAAATCATTGTAAATTTACAAGATACTAAAAAATAGGTAGGGAAAAGTAGGATGGAGAAACCCTTCAGACAGGGTTTTGCATTCAAAAAAGAAGATCTTCTTCTTGAGAAAAAGAAGCACTGCAGTTTTGAATCTAAGCATGCGGAAGCTATGGAGAAACTATCTACGTCAGTCAATCTAAAATGGATCTTACAAACAAACAAGACAGTGTTCAACTTTTATGTTGATAACATAAATAAACATGTTAGTAAACTAGAATCCACAGTGACGAAAGCTCTAGAATTGTGTAAGACATACTTTCAATCTAAAAGTGCTTCTATAAAAATACTCAAGACCACCTTATTTATATATCTTATGCATTTGCGCACTTAAAATCATTTGTCAAAACCTGTGGTGTGAATATATCGGACAATTTGCGGAATGCAGAAGCAATTACCGTCACGTCACAACCTGGGCACGACTCCCATACTCCTAGCGGTAATTTATCTTCTGCATCCGTCAATGAAACCGTATGCAATGATCAATCCCTCGAAAGACAAGCACAGTTTACTGCTAAAAAGCATGTACAAAATACTATCCTTCTGCTAATAAAGTGGAACCTCAGAAACAATTCCAAACAATACCAACTACCGTAACAACACGATCTGATAGCCAGACAAAGCGGCAGGTCTCGTATGCAGATGTATGTAAAAGCACGGGCAGGGTGAGGAGGATGATGACTTTTCCCAATATGTGCGACGGCGCTCAAAAAGGTTTTATATTGGTGGATTCAAACAATCAATTACCGAACTAAAACTTAGAAAATATGTTCATGGAAAGGGGCCACATGTTACAAAAGTATGTATCTTTTGAAACCGAAAGTATAGAACAGTTGTAGTAAGAATTAACGTTGAAGATAACAGTAAGGCTAATCTCCTAATCAATGATCCGTACTTCTGGCCACGGGACATAACTTGGGAGCCAAAGGAAAGTCTCTAAAAAGGGATAAAAATAAATCCGTTATAAAAAATAAAGAAAAATTAATACCTTTTTGGGATTGGGGGGCAAATAGCCCAAAGGGTAGAACCCAAACCCAAAAATGGAATGAAAGACGGGCCCACTGGAAAGGGAAAAAAATACACTTATAATCAATACAAACATTTTACCCTGTTTAGGCATTTGTTTAATAATATGTGTCTTGGGCAAATTTTTAGACAACCCGGGAAATTTAAAAAGGGAAAATCCAGGGGGCAAATTATTAATAAAAGAGAAAATTTTATATATTTTGGGATATTTAGAAACTGATTTCTGAAAAGAACCCCCATGTTTTTGAAAAGTATAATTTAAAAACTATATAAGTTTTCCCCTGTTTCGGACCCCGACCTTTTATGCCCTCTTTTTAGAAAAGGGTGGGGAAAAGGGGTCTTGGGAATGTTATGGGCGTAAGAAATTTAAAACCATATATTAACCAATTTATTTTGTTTTCCCCAAAATTTTATTGGGATTCAAAAATTTTGATAAAAACCGGAAAAATACATTTTTCCCTTTTTCCCGAATTTTTTAATGCCATCGAAGATCAAACCCCAAAGCATGCATACATAATTTTTCTAGAAGAACTAGAAATTAATTTGGCCCTGTAATAGGCAAGGGAATAAAAAAGTAAAGAGGGATTATAATACAGAACTCAAATCAGCTCGGAAAAAAGACAATTCCCCAAAATCCTAGAAGTGCGCTTTTTCTCGTTTTAAATCAGAAATATTTAAACCCTTTAAACCCTTTAAAACATTAAAATTTTTGCCGCGGAGGAAGAACGCAACCCTTCCCTATAACATAAGAGAAATTTGATTGATTTTATTTACCGGGTTCATACGTACAATATGTCAAAGACTGTCAAATTGTTGACGACAACGCGCTTAACGTATCGAAACACCGTCCAATCATTTGCACATTTAATATTGAGTACGATGGTAGGCCAAACTTCTCGGATGCTCAAACATGCGACCGTAAAATCATAAACTGGCAAAATGTCAAACAAGCCAAAATTAACCAGTATATAGATTTTTTTAGAAAATTGCAACGTTCTGCGTTATGCACAATATTTTCCTATAAATAATAAAATGATATAGATGATCTTTACGCTTGTATTGTTACAATTGTGAATCTTGCAACAAATTTGTTTATACCAAAGGTTTAATTTAAGTCATACATAAAACCATACTGGAATACTAAGCTATCATCATTACACAAAGATATGAAATTAAAGCGCAATAAATAGATACGGGCGGGAAAACCTAGAACGGAAGAATCAATCATTTTAAAGAATACAAATCGCTCAAAACTAAGTTTAGATGCGCACATCGTGACGCTGCAACGTTATTTTTGCAGGAACAGGAAGCGGAAATTGATACGACCGCAGAGTGCGATAACAACGATTTTTGGCGTCTTATTAATCGCCGGCGAAATAAAAAAAAAAATTTAAACCCTGGATTTGAAATGTGCTTTAATGGTACGATATACAGCGATCCGCAAAAAATAAACACTGAGTGCAGAACTAATTTTAGTGAGCTATACTCACCTGACGAAAACTCAAGCTTTAATAAAAGTTATTTGTCAAAAGTTGAAAATGAGCTTAACGATATAATAAAGCTTTGTGAAAGCTCAAATGACACTACTTTAAACATGACTTCAGAAATGATAAGGAAAGCTTTGCAAACATGCCAAAAACGTAAAGCTTGTGGCAATGATTCAATTCATTATGAAAACATCATGCATTGCGGTTCACTTCTAATTGACGTAATCGCAAAATTGTTCAATAGCATGCTTAGGTTTTCACATACTTCGTTAGAAATGAGAAAGGGTATAATTTCCACCCTTTTCAAGGGTGGGAGTAAGAAGAAATCAGATCCAAATAACTGCCGAGCAATCTCTTTATGCTCGGTGATATTAAAACTTTTTGACGAGGTTATATTAGAACTTCTTGGAAAGGATAGGAATGTCAATTTAAATGCATCACAAGGTGGCTTTCAAAAACATGTAATTTGTATAATGACATATTTAATGCTATAACAATGTGTATACTATGGTCTTGAAAACCATTCCCCAGTATATGCTTGTTTTCTCGATGCTTAACAGGCATTCGGTCGCACTTGGGTATCATTACTTCTGGTACAATTGTTAAAAATGGGTAATGATATTTCACTTTTTTAAAGTGATTTTGTCATTTTTCAAAAACTGCTTTAGCTGCGTGAAATCACAAGGTTACACGTAAGACTGGTTCCCCATTTTGCAAGGAACCCGTCAAGGCCAATGTCTCAGCCCTTTTCTCTATCTCATACTCATAAATAGCTTAATGGAAGAAGTGGACAGTAGTCAACATTGCTTAAAATTAGGTACTTTAAAATGTGGATGCCCAACTTCCGCCGGTGACATGGTTATTATTTCAAATACAAAGCGCGCTCTAGATACTCTGATGGACATATGTTATAGGAACAAAACAATTTTATATGTTATAAATGAAAGTTATCTATATAATGCCAAAAATTTAACAAAATAGTGTTCAACGATGTTAAATCAAGACCTCGCACCTGGACTTTAGGAGACAAAACCATAAACGAAACGGATAGCTACCTTCATTTAGGTGTCCAATGTAACAACACTCTAGATATAGATAAGAATATTTCTATAAGCTGCGATAAACTTCGAAAAACTTTTTTTTAGTATAGCGGATTGTGTTATTTACAGAAATGGCCTCAATCCTCTTACATTAAAAAAATCTATGTGTCAGTTGTGCTAAATCAAGGCTATGTATGGAAGCGAGCTATGGTCGGGAGTTACTGATACACAGTTACAGTCCCTTATGAAACTACAAATGTATAAAACGCATTCAGTCCATACCAGTAAGTACAAGGACGGATATAGCCCTGAGCTGTATCGGTATACAACCAATGGCCAATTTGATAGATAAACGAAAACTGTAATTATTTGGCCAGCTCTGCCTGTTAGACACTAAATTTCGAATAAAAGAAGTTTTTGTACATAGGTTAACGTCATTTTTGCTCTTCCCAAGGAAAATAAAGGGATTCTTACCAGATATTTACATGATCCTAGGTAAATACAACCTTACAAGCTTCCTTATAACTTTTATAATTTAGGGGTATTCCCAAAACTTAGTACCTGGCAAAGTATGGTCAAATCGAAAATCAATAGCTTAGAAAAACCGTGTACTATGCGATAAAAGTTTGAAACAATTCCTCCTTGTTCATCCTGTTTTTGAACCATGAATTCTTTGGAATTTCAGTCGCAGATATAGAAACCTACAGGCAGAGTGTACATCAACGTTTATTCTAATGTGCCGATATTTTCCTAGGAAATATGATATGAGATGCAAAAAGTTGTATCCTAATGATAAATGATATTTGAAACATATTCTATTGTTTTGTCCCTCAAATGAGTCAAAGACAGCAAACGTTATGGGTTACATTATCAAAACTTATGGGCATAGAAACTTTTCAAAACCTAATCGCGCTTTCTCCTGACCTGCAGATCATTGAAATGTTTCGTGGTTTAACATCTTCTTATCTAAGCGACGAGACTAGAGTGTATAGTTTCAAAGCTTTCATCAAATGAACTGGCTGATGTGAAATATACATGTTATAATTGTCCTATTCTGTTCGTAATCCAATGAATAAGTTTGCATATAAGCGCACGAATACACGCCCATTTAAACGCACAACCGTACACGCACGCTTATACTAAAAAAAATAACCCAAACACACACACACACACACACACACTCGAACGCACGCACCAACACACACGCACACGGACACACGCACTCACGCACACACACACGCTCGCACTATAGTTTCTTATGAATTTACAACTTATGTGTTTTGTGTTATTTCGTTATAAGTACATGTATTAACCGTTGTTAAAGGCACATCTATATTGTATGTCCTCCCAAGATACTTTTGTTTCGTTTCGATAAGAATGTTAAGCAAGAGGATATATTGCTGAATACAATATTTCAAAATTTTCGTTTGCTTCCTCATGTGTATATATTTTTTCTATGTTAAATGATTATTTACCTTATTTATGTTATTTATCAATTGTGTTTATTCAATATTTGTTACATTAACCGTTGATACAGGTACACCTATATTGTATGTCCTCCCAAGATACTTTTGTTTCGTTCCGATAAGAATCTTAAGCAACAGGATATATTGCTGAATACAATATTTCAAAATTTTCGTTTGCTTGCTTATGTGTATATATTGTTTCTATGTTAAATAATTATTTACCTTATTTATATTATTTATCAATTCTGTGTTTGTTCAATATTTGTTACATTAATATAATTATAAATGTATTCATATGTTTGTCAGTCATACATTGATGTACATGTAATGATTTATGTAGTTTTTGTAAGAACTGTATTGTATATGTATGTACTCTTCAAAACTGTACAAAATAAAGAAATATATGTCATCGATCACCATCCGTGTCCTGTCCTCGTGATCGCCCTGTCTGTAATATGTTGAATTTCTTTAAAAATGACTCAAGGAGTTTCAATGAGAAAACAGCAAATGGCATTCGATAAAACACTACCGAAAAAAACTCAAATTATTGGCTATAACTAGACGATAACTAGAGTTTATAATGAGCTATTGTCATCAAACTTTTATATAGCAATCTTATGTGGAAACCCGGGTTGGAATTGCTTTTAGACCGACCCTTGGGTGGGATTGTTGTTAGAACCTCTTGGGTCGAGTCAGTGTTACCAAAAATTGAATAACCGTTTCCGGAACAATAACTAGAGCAATGACATATTGTAATCAATCAAATTTAGTATGCACACCCACTTAGGATTACTTTTGGACACTTTGGGGTCAAGGTCTCTGTTACTTGAAGTTGAAAAATGGTTTTAGGACAATAAAAAGATTTAGGATTGATATATTTTACTCAAACTTGGTATGTAGCAGGCTTATATGAAGAAGCTTGTTGGTATTGTTTTTAGATCCCTGGGATCAATGTCAATCTAAATAAAGTGAAAAAAAGGTTTCCAGTAGCAATTAAATATTGTAATGAAACTTGATATTAAGCAAGCTTAAATGGAGACCTTGCTTCGAGTTAGAGTGAGAATGAAATATTGAAATAAAACTTGGTATTTAACAAACTTATATAAACACATAGCTTGGAAAATCCCTAGGTCCAAGGTCAATGTCTTTATATAAAATTAGAAAAAAATGGTTTCTGGAAGATAAGAAATGAATTTTAATATTGATTGGTAAAGAGATGAAAGATCATAAATTATATGTTGAGTTCATTGAGTTCAAATTTCGCTTTGGACCACTTATTTTTCAAAATGTCAAGGTTGCTAGTAGGGAACGGGGTATGAATCACATTTAGAAATACCTCTGTTTGTTTTCGAAGAGATTTGTTTCTATTTTGGATTGGTATGGATTTGACAGTTTTAGGTAGCTCGATTGATCTGAATGATCTTGTGTTTAAAAGTTTATGTAAAATTTTCAAACGTACAAATCCTAACAAAGTTTCTGCTTCTTGCCAAATATTGTAGAGATGATATGGAGCTGCGCATAAAATGGCAAAATTAGAAATGTTAGGTCTTGGTTTGGTTGAACCTGTTCATTTTTGTCATTTGTTCAAATGTGAAAACAATTATTAAGTAATGGAAATCGTGCAGGAATATGCGATGAAAGTTTTTTCTGCTTAAAAGGTTATTGAATATTAGTGAGTGCAACTTATGTTTTAATGTTTTATATTGCATAAAAACTATATTAATTTATGTTCATACTTACGATCAAGCTCATTTATGAGATTTTCTAATTTCCCACGAAATTTTCTATGCAAACGTATATTATTCTGTTTGCTCATGTCAATGTCATTAACAAGATCAATGTAGATACAACTTTTCAATTTAACTCTCAAAAAAGCGGGTATCACGAAGCAAAGAAGTGGTAAAGTCCATGTATCAATGTCTATATTAGCTGCTGCATCTTTGGGGTATAGAAGTTGCTTATCTGCGTCCAACAGAATACCGTCCATAGTTGATTCAATTTGATCTCTGTCGCAAGCAAGACATTCCGCCAACTCTTCTTTTGAGACAGACATTTCTATGCAGGACTTCAGATTTCTTTTTAACTCTTCTTCCTTTTCTTTTATTTCGTCTCCCTTAAAAATATATCTTTATTATTGTAACATTTTTACACAAACAACGAACGTACTTCAAGCATGAAATGGAAACAATACAAATATTAAGAGGATATTTTTTCGTTTGTGTGAAATATCGAATATATTTTCATGGAACATGATAAAATGCCACATATTTTCAGGAGCCGGTAAAAACGAATTTAAAAACAATTAATAAATGACATATCATGCTATCACAAATACATTAATATGCTGGACAACACTGTAACCTAGTACGCTGTTTCAAGGTCCATACTGGTTGAGGGTCCATACATCCTTTATGTGTCGATATTGATCTGTCCAGCAATTCCCTGTGTAAGGAGAACATTAATGACCACGAGTGTCGTGTAAACATCAGCACATACACAAGTTATTACAACTAGCATTGATTGCAATTTATCTTGATGGAAACCTTCGAATTTCATATGCTAAGGTAAACTTGTTTGGTCGGCCCTGACACATTACAGTCACCCAATTTGAAATTTCAAAATATTATGTAATGTTGTTATATTAACACATGTAATTGTAATATTAACGGAAAAAAAGAAATTTGATTTATCGAAAACCCCACACTGAATAGGTTATTTTACACTATCTTAAACAATACACCTTAAAAACATGGTAAAATTAAAAACACAACTATTGTATACACTCAGATAATCATTATATTAATATGTTATTATTTAGTTATCGATATAGCTGGTGATCGAGTTCGATTTAGTGTGCCCGTTATTATGCACGTGCTCAAACGTCCCGTCATATATCTTTTGTCATATTGCATAAAGAAAATGATATTAAAAAATCCAACTCATTCATACAGTATGCGTTGTTTTAAAAAAATGGATCAGAATAGATCAGATTTTAACTTTATTATTTTGTTAAATATTAAAGAGAGAAATGATGAGAGCGTAGAAATAATAAGTTTTAAAAAGTAAATATTAATTAACTTAAATCGATATCGCTTCAGCCCCAGGAGGCGACACTGGTAATGCATCTTGTGTTTTATATATAATGAATTTACAGTATATGACTTGTGTATAGAAAAACGCTTTTCGACAAAGTTCACTTTTACAAACTGTCCTATAATTGCATTTAATAAGTGTTATTACATATAAGTTCAATCCTTTGAATACGGTGTTTTCACACTTAGTTTTTTTTTTCATATCATTTTCTTGAAAAGTTAATTATTTGCTTGTATGCTTGCATGTTAATTAGGCGAAATTTTAGGCGTTCTTTACAGTGACATTATGATCATTTTTCCATTGTCAAATTGATGTGAATTGACTATATATTGCAACAGAAAATAATGGTGACTGACCAACAGTTGACATTGGAAAATGGTAATCCTAAACAAAAAATACACTGATATGACTCCATTTTGAGTGTGCGATTTTATATATATCGAGGGGTGAAAGCGAAAGAAGTCTAAATGCATATCTGTAAATTTTTCAGGAGAGACAAAAAACTGTCCTGTTTTTCAGGTTATATGTATAATTATCATTTGTGTACTCTGAAATGAAAATCAGTTATATTATACATTCAAAGAAATTACTTGAAAAAAAATGAAAGAAAAAGATTATATTTGTAAAAATGTACTTAGACTTTTTTGCACTTAATATTTGTCAAAATATCACAAAACTGGTAAATGCGAAAAAGTCTAAGTGACAGAAAACAGGAATTAAACACCCAATTTAAACAGAAATGTTCTATACAGATTACGTTTGATCATGACTTTCTATTCTGAATATAGAAATGGAAAGAAAATAATATAAATTTCAAAAAAAAATCACTTGGACCTCTTTCGCATTAAATAGTCATTTAGAACTTGCCCTATAAGTGACTTAAAGTGAGTGACATTTGACCATATTAACCAGATACTTTCATCTTAAAGGAAAAGAATATTGAAGTTTATATTATTATAGAACTAATTTAGGTTTTTACATATATCATCACAATTAAAAACTGCATTCAGTTTCTAAAATAATGGCATTTTGTCTGATTCTGATCATAAACTGAAGTTTTAGTTGATTACCATAATATAATTACCAAAACAGATACTGGAAGGAATTCTGTTCTTCAATTCTAATGTTTAACCAAATAACAACATGGTCAACACACATAAACAACTATAATACAATGTAATACGCTTAATGTTAACCATATGTATGCAATGTTAAATGAATTCTTAAATAAAAGCTATTGAAGGCAGTTTACATAAAATGGATATTTTCAGATTAAGGCACTCGCACTGGACATAAAAGAAGGGCAAAGACTTAGTAATCTAAGATAAGTAATAAAAACAATTTAATGATATATTTACAGGAAATACAGCACACGTGCTACAGTTTGCTTTCTACACAATTCACCAACCAAAACTTGCAAAAAAGTGCATCATTCTTCATAATTTGAAACATAATGACTCTTCAAAATCAGCAAAGGATGTTGTCAATTATTTTTTGGCATGACCGGATAGAAATCACTTTTACATCGATTCAAATTTTGTACAGGGTGTATAATATTCACAGTTCACAACAAATTAGATTTACAGAAAAGTCTGAAATTTATTGATGAATTAATTATTAGACGATTAATTTGGAATTATATAATTGACCAAAGTCAAAGTAGTAAAAGTATTGGTTATAGTAGTGCTGCTTGTTATAATGTTAGGGATGTAAGTGGCAATAGCCATGAGTTGTGGTAATGATATAAGTCTATCACTACAGTCACTTCTACAGTATCAACAACATACAAGTCACTGCTACAGTATCAACAGCTAACAATTCCACAAGTCCAACCTCACAATCACTGTCACTGCTACAGTATCAACAGCTAATAACAATTCCACAAGTCCAACTCTACAATCACTATCACTGCTACAGTATCAACACCTTATAACAATTCCACAAGTCCAACTCTACAATCACTGTCACTGCTTCAGTATCAACAGCTAGCCATTCCACAAGACCTACATTACAATCACTGTCACTGCTTTAGTATCAACATCTAATAACCATTCCACAAGTCCTACATTACAATCACTGTCACTGCTTCAGTAACAACATCTAATAACTATTCCACAAGTCCTACATTACAATCACTGTCACTGCTTCAGTATTAACATCTAATAACCATTCCACAAGTCCTACATTAGAATCACTGTCACTGCTTCAGTATTAACATCTAATAACCATTCCACAAGTCCTACATTACAATCACTGTCACTGCTTCAGTATTAACATCTAATAACCATTCCACAAGTCCTACATTACAATCACTGTCACTGCTTCAGTATTAACATCTAACGATTCCACAAGTGCTACATTACAATCACTGTCACTGCTTCAGTATTAACATCTAATAACCATTCCACAAGTCCTACATTACAATCACTGTCACTGCTTCAGTATTAACATCTAACCATTCCACAAGTCCTACACTACAATCACTGTCACTGCTTCAGTATCAACATCTAACCATTCCACAAGCCCTACATTACAATCACTGTCACTGCTTCAGTATTAACATCTAACCATTCCACAAGTCCTACATTACAATCACTGTCACTGCTTCAGTATTAATATCTAATAACCATTCCACAAGTTCTATATTACAATCACTGTCACTGCTTCAGTATCAACATCTAATAAACATTCCACAAGTCCTACATTACCATCACTGTCACTGCTTCAGTATTAACATCTAACCATTCCACAAGTCCTACATTACAATCACTGTCACTGCTTCAGTACCAACATCTAATAACCATTCCACAAGTACTACATTACAATCACTGTCACTGCTTCAGTATCAACATCTAATAACCATTCCACAAGTCCTACATTACAATCACTGTCACTGCTCCAGTATTAACATCTGATAACCATTCCACAAGTCCTACATTACAATCACTGTCACTGCTTCAGTATTAACATCTAACCATTTCACAAGTCCTACATTACAATCACTGTCACTGCTTCCGTATTTTAACATCTAATAACCATTCCACAAGTCCTACATTACAATCACTGTCACTGCTTCAGTATTAACATCTAATAACCATTCCACAAGTCCTACATTACAATCACTGTCACTGCTTTCAGTATCAACATCTAACCATTCCACAAGTCCTACATTACAATCACTGTCACTGCTTCAGTATCAACATCTGATAACCATTCCACAAGTCCTACATTACAATCACTGTCACTGCTTCAGTATCAACATCTAACCATTCCACAAGTCCTACATTACAATCACTGTCACTGCTTCAGAATCAACATCTAACCATTCCACAAGTCCTACATTACAATCACTGTCACTGCTACAGTATCAACATCTAACCATTCCACAAGTCCTACATTACAATCACTGTCACTGCTTCAGTATCAACATCTAACCATTCCACAAGTCCTACATTACAATCACTGTCACTGCTTTAGTATCAACATCTAATAACCATTCCACAAGTCCTACATTACAATCACTGTCACTGCTTCAGTATTAACATCTAACCATTCCACGCGTCCTTCATTACAATCACTGTCACTGCTTCAGTATTAACATCTAATAACCATTCCACATGTCCTTCATTACAATCACTGTCACTGCTTTAGTATCAACATCTAATAACCATTCCACAAGTCCTACATTACAATCACTGTCACTGATTTAGTATTAACATCTAACCATTCCACAAGTCCTACATTACAATCACTGTCACTGCTTCATTATTAACATCTAATAACCATTCCACAAGTCCTACATTACAATCACTGTCACTGCTTCAGTATCAACATCTAATAACCATTCCACAAGTCTTACATTACAATCACTGTCACTGCTTTAGTATTAACATCTAACCATTCCACAAGTCCTACATTACAATCACTGTCACTGCTTCAGTATTAACATCTAACCATTCCACAAGTCCTACACTACAATCACTGTCACTGTTTCAGTATCAATATCTAATAACCATTCCACAAGTCCTACATTACAATCACTGTCACTGCTTCAGTATTAACACCTAATAACCATTCCACAAGTCCTACATTACAATCACTGTCACTGCTTCAGTATTAACATCTAATAACCATTCCACAAGTCCTACATTACAATCACTGTCACTGCTTCAGTATCAACATCTAATAACCATTCCACAAGTCCTACATTACAATCACTGTCACTGCTTCAGTATTAAACACATAATAACCATTCCACAAGTCCTACATTACAATCAATGTCACTGCTTCAGTATTAACATCTAATAACCATTCCACAAGTCCTACATTACAATCACTGTCACTGCTTCAGTATTAACATCTAATAACCATTCCACAAGTCCTACATTACAATCACTGTCACTGCTTCAGTATCAACATCTAATAACCATTCCACAAGTCCTACATTACAATCACTGTCACTGCTTCAGTATCAACATCTAATAACCATTCCACAAGTCCTACATTACAATCACTGTCACTGCTTCAGTATCAACATCTAATAAACCATTCCACAAGTCCTGCATTACAATCACTGTCACTGCTTTCAGTATCAACATCTAATAACCATTCCATAAGTCCTACATTACAATCACTGTCACTGCTTCAGTATCAACATCTAATAACAATTCCACAAGTCCTACGTTACAATCACTGTCACTGCTACAGTATCAACATCTAATAACCATTCCACAATCCAACTCTACAATCACTATCACTGCTGCAGTATCAACAGCTAACAATTCCAAAAGTCCAACTCTACAATCACTGTCATTGCTACAGTATCAACATCTAATAACAATTCCACAAGTCCAACTCTACAATCACTGTCACTGCTGCAGTATCAACATCTAATAACCATTCCATAAGTCCTACATTACAATCACTGTCACTGCTACAGTATCAACATCGAATAACAATTCCACATGTCCAACTCTACAATCACTGTCACTGCTGCAGTATCAACAGCTAACAATTCCAAAAGTCCAACTCTACAATCACTGTCACTGCTACAGTATCAACATCTAATAACAATTCCACAAGTCCAACTCTACAATCACTGTCATTTCTACAGTATCAACAGCTAACATAACGACTCTCCAAAATCAGCAATGGATGTTGTCAATTATTTTTTGGCATGACCTGACAGAAATCACTTTTACATCTATGCAAATTTTGTACAGGGTGTATAATATTCACAGTCGAAAACAAATTAGATTTACAGAAAAGTCTGAAATTTGTTGATGAATTAATTATTAGACGATTAATTTGGAATTATATAATTGACCAAAGTCAAAGTAGTAAAAGTATTGGTAATAGTAGTGTTGCTTGTAGTAATGTTAGTGATGGAAGTGGCAATAGCCATGAGTTGTGGTAATGATATAAGTCTATCACTACAGTCACTTCTACAGTATCAACAACTTGCAAGTCACTGCTACAGTATCAACAGCTCACAATTTCAAAAGTCCAACCCTACAGTCACTGTCACTGCTACAGTATCAACAGCTAATAACAATTCCACAAGTCTAACTCTACAATCACTGTCACTGCTTCAGTATCAAACAGCTTACAATTCCACAAGTCCAACTCTACAATCAGTGTCACTGCTACAGTATCAACATCTTACAATTCCACAAGTCCAACTCTACAATCACTGTCACTGCTGCAGTATCAACAGCATAGAATTCCACAAGTCCAACTCTACAATCACTGTCACTGCTGCAGTGTCAACATCTAATAACAATTCCACAAGTCCAACTCTACTACAATCACTGTCACTACTACAGTATCAACAGCTAATAACAATTCCACAAGTCCAACTCTACAATCACTGTCACTGCTACTGTAACTAACAATAACTAACGCAAATGTAACACTGCTATTATTATCACTTCTATGGGACCCCATAGTCAATTGGTTAAGATAGCCAGCTTCAAAACACTTTTCCCTCACTACTGTGGGTTCAAATTACATAAGGAACTTCGTGTTCTTTTATTTGAGAAAGTATACAGCTAGGATGTTGGTTCTACTTGGGTGCCCCAAATGTGCCTGAAATATGGCATGATGGTCTTCCTTTACCATTTTGATGCTGGAAAGTTGCCATGTAACCTTTACAGTGTTTAAGTGACAAACAAACAATCCCAACTATCAATACTGAAGTATTCAGAGCTAATATTTCCACTAGTGTCTCAATACTATCAATATTACTGCTACAGTATCAACAGCAAACTACATGAAATGTACTTCTTTGATTACACTTTTAATACTTACATCTATCACTGGAATAATACTACAACCACTAAAATAGCAATAATTAGCACTACAATCACTATTGCTGCTACAGTATCTTTAGCTTATAGTGAACCACATAGCTTCCTTTACTAGCTACAGAATCTTCAGTTTACTATCACATAGTAGAAGTATTAACTGAGGATTCAGTAACAATGATAGTGAAAGTGACTACTAAGACTGCTATTTTAACCATGCCTGAAATTTCATCTAACATGGGGGTGCCAGATAAGTCATATACTGTACAATGGCATTCTTAGGATGATATAACTTTGCCGTATTGAATGAAGTTGTAATTTCACACGCTGTTGTAAGAAAATAGTTATGGATGTAATGACATTAATTTCCATGTAAGGTTGTTTTATTAAGAAAAAGTATTTAAAATATGATGGAATATGGTAGATTATGCAAGAAAAAATAACTGACACGTGTTTTCAGTTCGGTTCGGATCAGATTATCCGACCTTCAGGAATATGGAGGCTATTCGTTGCCAAAAATCCAGCCTTGTTGATCTGAGTTGAACAGTTTGTTTACGGACAAAATACAATTGTATTTCTTTGTATGTAAACTCCAATGTGGCATTCTTGGACTGAGTTTGCCGATTTAACATTGTAATCATGCATTTCAACAAAATAAATACATTTTGTTAAACGACAAAAGATTACTGTTTTTTTCTGATAGTAGCAATACCAAATGTTCATCATAACATGTGGAATACTCATTGTTCGTGTATACGCCGACAAAAAAGAAGTTACTTTCTTAGATTTACATTGTCAAACCATCATGATTCGGATCAGCATAATCCAGCTTTACACGTTTTTTCAATGGGAGATAAAATAAGCTCCGCCCATTTTCCCGTCCACTACATCATCGTAGAAAAACGTATTTATCCGCTTTTTTTCGGTATTTACCGTCAACGACAAGAAGGAAACGACGTAGTTTCCGTTTACCTACCACACCTTTTAGGTGTTATTCACCAAACATAATTCGCTTGCATGATTGCCATTGTAGCCTTTATTCAATCAACATCAGCGGACTTTCAATGATTATAGTCATATAAGTTTTGAAACGTTGTAGATATCACATTTCCTAGAAAAAGAAACTAAATTTAAAAAAAACTCACCAGGTTACTTACTGTCTGGGGTTAAATATTTTTCAAGGAAGTAAAAAGTTTTGATAAGACTATAATTCAACGACAAATAAATTTTACTGAGAGGATTCAATTTTGCTGCATTAAATGAGTAACATTCAAAGTTTCAAGTCAACATCTAATAGAGATTTTGATACGACAAAATACTAATACAGACCCAATTCTGGCTAGTAGTAGCATTTACTATTACATTAGTAACCTAAATTCTAGCGTATGACTTGACAAGAAACTTTTAACAATAGTAAAATTCAAACCAAAGTTGTATGTACCCTTTCGAACATAACTTTTTATTTTTACCATACTGTATAGATATATTTTCCCATTTTTACCATTTACCTTTCAATAATAATATTTAAATGAATCCAAAAGTATGTATGTTGATTAGCAATTTATGAATACCTTGTTTATTTTTATCTCTAAGAAAGCCATCACTTACAAAACTTAATATATTACAAAACCTAATATTCTGTGTAGTATTTCATGTAGTACTACATAAAAATAGTTTTCTGCTTTTGATCAGATTGACAAAAGGTCTAGGTAACAGCTATTGACAGCATGCACACACAGATTTTAGAGCTATTATTGATTCAGTACAATGCATAAACAGGTCTACGTCAGCTTACATACGCCTCCAGATTCATGCAAATTTTCATGAAATTTTTGAAAATGTATTTGAATGTGTATTATTGTGAAGTAACCAAAAGGAGCCAATTTACACATTACTAATGGCACTTACGAACCACGTAAATTACCAAATAAGTGGTCAAAAAATGCATAAAGAGCGTTTACTGCGTTAGTAACGCAGTAGAAATATAGTTGTAAATACTGAAAAATCAGTTATTAATCGCACACAATATGTAAAATATTACCTGAATCTTGAAACTTTTACTTATCCTTACATCTTAGTACATTTTTCTCAAGTTTGATTTTATTGAAATATTTTGAATCATCTGGAGGCATGTAGCTTTAATAATAAAAGGCTAAATCCCATCCTATGACTTAAAATATCTCCCAAATGGAGGTAAACAGAGATGCTAGGATACAATGAATATTTATTTCAACATTCAAATGGAACAAATTCACAAGTTTTTGGTTATACAGCAGAATTATTGATAGTAAACTTTGAATAGTTCCGTGGTATACACTTGGTCAAAAATTTTGGTTTTTCTACAACCCAATATAGTCCTTTAAAGACAGAAGACACAGGCATACAGTTCTTTTTATTCGTGTTGCCAAAAGTGACTTCCATGTATCGGATTCTAGTATTGTTTGCTGAATTAAAAGACATATGTGTGTGTGTGTGAGTGTGTGTGTGCGTGTGTATGTGTGTGTGAGTTGGTGGGTGATGGTGCGTGCGTGTGTGTGTGTATGTGTGTACTACCGTTGTAACGTTTGAAAACACATAAACCCTTTCGACGTTTTCAAAACTGGTGTTTGTCCTTATATATGGTAAACATTCCCTTATGTTAATTCACCAACTTTAATTTTTGCTTATTATTATGCTCATTATCAGTATAAACGTTGTTGTATTGTTACATTATATCTTAACCAATTTTGCATTACTTGAATATCCTGTACTAAAATACGTTTTTACAAAATCAGAGGATATACAAAGTCAACTGTAATGCAGATGATGTATGTGAAATTTCTAAAAGTTTTATATAATTTGAAAAAAGTTTTGTACCAGCAAGAGTTACCTCTCTTTATATCCTGCTTTCGTGAAAATTGGCTCCGCCTATTAATTTTCGCCTTTTTCCGTGATAATTCCATATATGGAAGTTGCAAAATCGTTTACAAATGTTCATCGCGTTAGAATGTAAAAGGAAAGTGTGGTGTTGTCAATCTGAGAGTGTCAACTGATGAACTTTACATTCGCACAGCGCGTTGTGTGCGTTCTATCGTTTACATTTCTACATGTCGCAAAGTTGAAGTTATATATTTCTAAATACAGTTTGCAATTTATCTAAGTTGCATGTTTACAGCTTCTCTTTTATCAAATCGAGATAATCTAAATGCTTAATACCAGTGCAGTATGTAACTCTCGGATCGACAATTAGATCTTTACTAATCTGTTTAGGAGAACCAAAGTGTATTTTAAAGGCTGAATTTTTGGCAACGAATAGCCTCTATACAGGAA